AGTGACCCTGTACTATCAAGGAAGCCCGAATCAAGTGAAGATGCTCAAATGAGGACCAAACTGGAACTCTCAAGATTGGGAGAAGAAGTGGAGTCTTTAAAGCAGGACGTTTTGGGTATCAAAGACGAATTTCTTTCCCAGACCTTTCAGACGAGACAGCAGCTTCGCCATCAAGAAGAAAAATTAAGACAGACTCAAGAAGGAATGAAGCTTGAAATTCGACAAGGGCAAGATGAACTGAGACAGAGTCAAGATGCAATGAGACTCGAAATGAGTCAAGGACAGGAAGATGTGACGTTTGAAGTGACACGGCAGATGTGCCACTTACATGACACCTTGGTAAAATTAGCACCTTCAATTGCTTCCTCTCGATGCTCAACTCCACGTAGAATATCGAGTAAGAGTCACATAGACTTAAGGGAGAAAGAGTTTGAGGCACACATACTGGGTGAAGGTGATTCTCAGAAACAGCTGCAAGAGACTACAAGGAATTTGAGTTCGATTACTCGTGAAGATAATCCTCAACTATCAACAGGAAGATGGCAGGACCAATTACCTATGCCTGCAACCAGAAGTCCACCTCGCCTTCAAGAACCAATACAGTCATGGAGAGAGGAAATGCCCCCTCTCCCTAGACCAGAGATGCCAGAGAGGGAAATATGGCAGCGCATCCAAGGGACACATGCCGAGGACCCAAGGAGTAACGTTTCCTTTCCAGAGATTAAGACTACAGAGAGGTGGAAGGTGCCAGAGACTGCTAAGTTGTCCCATGTCTGTTGAGGAGATGCCCCTCGATCATTTGTTTTAGCTGCTCTGAGGCAGGACACGTGGCAATTGAGTGCGGGAGACAAAAGAAAAAAAGAAAAAGAGAGCGGGATATTGACCATTCTTGGGCCAAGAGTAGCTCAACAGTTAACCCCGTTCGGAGTGGTCAAGAAGTCACAAACGCTGGAAGAGCAGATAATGTTGGAAAGGTAGCGGCCATGGTGAAAATATGTGGAATAACTATGGATTGGTAGATACAGGAGCTGCGGTGTCTCTCATGAGTTTGCATAGCTTTAACCGGATTTACTACACAGATAGACCAAAGTTGAAACCAGCAAAAGATGTGTTGCTTCAAGCAGATAGTTATCCACTAGCATCATATGGATCATGTAAATTGGAAGTAGATTTGGATGGAAGAATCACTCCCCTAGACATAACGATTGCAGAGATTGGCCAGGATGGGATATTGGGGTCGGATTATATTTTGGCTAGTAAAGCCAACATCCAATATGGTTCCCTGCAGGTTTTTTAAATTTGTTGAATTTTTGAAAATCGTCATTCCCATGTAAACCGATGGGAAATGGTGGGTTCGGGGCAAATCAGAAACCAGGATATCTATTCAGTGAAAGATTCAGTAAGAAATAGTATTATATAAGAAATTGAATTGTCTAACTTTTTGTACACAAAGTGTTTAGTTTACTTGATGAATACCAAAGTTACGGAGCTTCAAAGTCATTTTTGAAAATCATTTTTCGCCTCCTGTGTTATTTCAATGGGAGAGGTTTTTTGAAAAACAATTTTGACTTTAAAGCCCTATAACTGTGTTGAACCTGAAGAAACGTTTCAATTTTTTGTTAAATAAAGTTAGCAAATTCAATTACCTACCCGATTCGTATTTTTGCAAGAACTCGGATGGATGGATATTCTGTCATATGACTTGCGGCAAACCTTCCATTTCCCATTGGTTAACATGGGAATGTCGATTTTGAAAAAGTCCTCAAATTTATCATCAATTTTCGACCTATTGTAATTGAGGAAAAAATTGAGAAAATTTGGAGGTATTGGAAATAAAGTCATGCTACGTTTCCATCAATATTATAAGTTATTTCATCGCAGGTTAAGTAAATAAATATTCAAACGTAAATAGGCTTTAACACATATTTCAATGGGGGAGCTAAGGTTGCCAAACTTATGGAGGGGAGTGTATGTTCCATGTAGAGATGTATTTGCTCTGTTGCCGATGGAACCCCTGGATTAGAATGGTACAACCTGTATGTGAATGAAATGTTAGCCAGACAGAAGAAGACAGGTCAACATGATGCTTGGATTATGGCTCATGAATATTACTCAGAATGTAACACCAAATGCAGTAAACAAGATGATGACGTTTGATGACGTGATGACTTGATAACGTGATGACGATTATATCTTTTTCCCCTGTATTCTGCTGATGACATCATTACTAAATTGAACGGGTACACCAAGGAGGATTGGCTCCCAGAGTGCAACATCGATATTCTGTCCCACGAATGTGCATGTCGTGATAAAAAAATTCAAATTCAAACAGCCGCCGTTTTGTTTACTTCAACATTTGAATCATGAATTTTGGTCTTATATACTAACGAAAAATTCCGACACTCGCAAGAAATGGTTCAGATATTGGTTCAAATCTTTTGAACTGTTTGTTTTAAATTTATTGTCGGTTTAAATTTCAGGAAATAACGACGTTTTGAGGTTTTTATTGTTGGAAAATATCGAGTTTCGATCCTCGGAGCCAATCCTCTTTGGGGTACACGAGGAATAAATGGGTTCACGACATAATAGTGTAATATTTTTGGTAGATATGAATTTCAATTTCAGCCCCACATATCTAACTGCTCTGTTCAGATAAATTATTACACAGTAAAGGACTGATAAATGTTCGGATAAATTACTACTTACACTGTTAACGTTGGAAAGGAATAGGTTAAATTATAAATTAAACGTTAAATGAGAGGTATCACGCGTTACAATTTGTGTGATACAGGAAATCTCTCACTCGGGTAGAAGCTTCGCTTTCGTGGTGATAAATTTTACTTTTGTGGAAGAGTTCCCATATCACACGCTGAGACGTGTGATAACTGAAAGTATAGGTGTTGTACATTTGCATATTCTTCATTTTATCTTCAAGAAAAGTATATATAATGATAATTTAGTTAATCAGACCTAAGTGATATTGAAGGGACAATGGACCAATAAACATACTTCAAAAATGTTTACCTAATTTTTATATCTTTTAATATATTGTTGAATGAATAATTAGAATGTGCTTTGAGACGTGTTCTATTTTCGAAGAGGAAAAGTGGATTGCTCCAGGGACTTTAAAGATACTGAATTTGGATGACCAAAATGAACTGAAACCGATGGAAAGCATGAGCTTTTTCAATGGAGAAATAACATGGGGAACACTTGTCTCAAAGCAATTAAGTTTTTCTTTCAAGAACTATTTGATGCACTAAAATAAAGAATAGTAATGCATTAAACAATGTAAAATGATTGCATTTTTGGTAAAATTGGGTCAACATTTTTGAAAAAGTATGTTGATTGGTCCATTGTCCCTTCAATATCACTTAGGTCCGATTAACTAAATTATCATTAAGATAATGAATGAATCTAAGAGATACGCCCATAATCAGAAAATATTTATAATCCAAGTTAGAATCGTTCGAAATTGTTTGCGATAACCTACGTGCTCCTTTGCAAAGAGGCCCCGACACGAGTACAAAGGCATAAAAACAAAATTAAACCAAATCAATGCACGTATCTCTGATCGGGTTAAGAAGTATCAAAAATATATATCATTCGTTTTTTAAACTTGACTTCATTTTATCTAGTGCTTGATTAGTCAAGGTTTCTTCGAAGATGACATACATAAGTATTATATAAATGCCACTTTGTTGATTTCTGTAACAATATGTTAACAAAAAGATTGTTAAACGTGTCAACAATAGCCTACAATACTTTGTCAGATTATGTTACGATGAATAATAAATCACGGATGCCATACTTTGTCACATTTTTGAGAAAAACTATAAATGTTTAAAATTGAAGAGTGATAAGGAGGCTAGTAAAAGCTGATAGCGTTACCAATAAAACATTTAAAACGAAACTATTCGTTCTGTGTGAGGCCTTCCCTATTCAACAGATTTGACACCTTAGACTTTTATTCTGGGGTAACTTAAAGAACCAAGTGTATGCTAGTTCCAAGCCGAGAGACCAAGAATAATTTAAGAGAAATTCAAAACATTCAACCGGAATCATTATTTGATGTGATGGACAATATAGCAGCAAGGATGTAGGCTGTCATCGAAATATGACGAGGTTGCAATGAACATGTAGTATAAAAATGCAAGTTTGAATTTGAAAAATTGGTATTTGGTAGAAAACATTTTTTTGGCTACATGACCAAGCAAAAATACCTGAAAATATTGATTGGTTTATTTTTGCTATTGATATACTTTTTGGTACATTTTTAGACACCCTCGGCCTATATACTGTATACAAGGGCAAAGAGATTTTTAATATTTCCATGGCCAGTCATTCTGAGATAATGGTATAAGTAGGCCTACCATGTAGAGGCAAAACGTTAACGTTGCTGTATGTATTGCAATAACCATAATTATATAGAATTAGTGTAGTACCATACATTACTGTCTCAATTTGACTCAATTTATCATTGTTGTCTTCATCCTAGATTAAACAGACTGGTTCAACATAAACATGATGCTCTCAGAGTTTTGTATTGTGCTTTGTTATTTGGAAATGATTCCGGGTTGTACCATGTTCCCTAACCCATGCACCTCTCTGAATGACTGTATGCAATCGGGCTTGATATAATTTAAGACATGGCTAAAAATCAGTGTAGTGATTAAATTTAATTTTAGACTATAAGTGTATGATAACCTTTATAATCTAGAAATTCTAGAAATGAATTTATACCATTATAAGAATCCATTGAAGACGTGATTCTTCCATCACTTACGGTGTATGCTATATTTTGCGAATCGATATTCAATGTATTAGGATATGAAATATCAAATGCGTTGGTCAAACCCACAAAAACTGCGTGTTCATTCTTTATCCGCAAACAATAACAATAAAACTAATATGAATATATAATATTTACATATTTACATTATTTAACAGTTTTACATTATTTACAATATGCACATATTTACAACTCTTGAAACAAGCAGTTATACGATTGTGTATGTTTTTGCACCAAAGATCAGTTGAATATTCGTCGCCGAACTTGTATCTTTTGATCCATTATCAGGTTTTTCAGTTTTTATTTCATATTCGGGATTTTTAGTTGTTTTATAAGAAGTCTGTGTTGTCATGTCGGGCGGTATATTGCAATTATTTTCAGCGCAACATTCAACATCAGTGGCTTCCATTTGCTGAAACAAAGCATTCGATACATTGAAGTGAATTTTCTGGTGTATAATAGCTTGACACAGCACACTTTGAAAATGTGAAAAGGTAAAAATTTGAAAGTTGAGAGCCCCATTTTACAAGTCTGGTAATTATATAAAAGACATATCTGCATATACCATATATTTCCTTCAAATATGAAACAAATAACTGCTACCTAATCATTGGGTGACCACTTACTAAAACATGTCTGGGCATTCTTTTGAGATTGAACATCCATAGAACAGTGCGTCACCCCTCCTTCCCTTAACACAACTATCTGCATCAGCTAGGGTTGTTCCTGTCAGAGTGTTACAAGCAATCACATGTACAGAATTCTGAGGATCATCAGAACTACCAGAGTAACACTAAAAAAAGCAATGTGAAAAAATATACTATTAAAGACAATTGTTACGATAGTGCACTTGGGACCACAAAAAAAAGTTTTCCACTTGCAAGGTCTTCCACTTACAGAGGTGTTCCAAGTAGCAGTTTCTAATGTAGTTTTACGGCGGCCGTAACTTCACAAAAGCAATATACAAAATCGACGTCGTACTACTTATCCCAAGATTTTATGCTGCAGATTTTTCTCAATTTTGGGAAGCATAAAACATGATTGAAGCTTTTACACATCTGGTAATATTTGGAGCAATCTAGGTACATAGAATTTTAATTTATTCTCAAGAATTGGTAGAAAGGAGAAAAGAAAATTGCACTAAAAAAACAAAAGATGTTAACAAAAACAGTTATATCAAATATTTCTAAATAATTTTCGAATTAAATTGTTGTCAATCAGTCAACATTACAGTCATAAAATACCGTGTTTTTTAAAGAATGTTTTCAATGATTGGTTAAGAGAAAAACATTGTTGAATTCAGTTCTCCATATCGATACCACTCCTTTAGGTATTCGAGTTCGAGAATGAATTTAAAATACATAATGTAGCTATTAAACCGGTGAACACTTTCCGGTTGGAACTCAACATAAATATTCGCAAAATGAAAATATAAATTAGTCGTACACTTAAGCAGCTATTTTGAAATTCTAAAAGACGTTTAATTTTTAATAATCTTCAGATATGCATAACATTTACGGCTACTTATAAGGGTAATTGGACAACTCGGACCCAGGACAACTCGGACCCTGGACAACTCGGACCCAAGACATCTCGGACCCAAGACAACTCGGACCACTTTTTAAAATTATAATTTTTATCATTATGTGTGGTTTGATTTTTTCATTCATGAAAATTAATACATATATATTGGGACTTCATATTCTGTATTAATTTGATGAAAATGTTTTAATTTGACTTTTTTGATGAAAATTAAGTAGAAGATATTGAAGCTGAAAACCCAAGACAATACGGACCACTTTCTGAAATTATATTTTTGGTTGTTGTAATAGGGGATTATTTGTTTAATGTTTAGCATGACATATTGTGAGTTTATATATTGTTAGTATTTATTTGATGAAGATCTTTCAGTCGGTAAGCTTTCAATTAACTTATTTGATGAAAGTTAAGAAGTAAGAGCAGTAAGAGAATATTGAAGCTGAAGACCCAAGACAACTCGGGCCACTTTTTGAAATTATAGTTAATTTAATTTAATACAATTTCATTGCATTAACACAATATATGAATTCACAATATATAATATATGTCATAAAAAACATTAAACAAAAAAATTAGAACACCATACAAAGATAAAAACCATCATTTCAAAAAGTGGTCCAAGTTGTCTTGGGTCTTTAGCTCCAATAATTTCTTACTTCTTAACTCTCATCAAAACATTAATTTCAAACAATTTCATCAAATTAACATAATATATGAATTCACAATATATAATTTATGTGAAAATAAACATAAAAAATAATTAAAACCAAATGTAATGATAAAAATCATCATTTCAAAAAGTGGTCCGAGTTGTCTTGGGTCCGACTTGTCTTGGGTCCGAGATGTCTTGGGTCCGAGTTGTCCAGGGTCCGAGTTGTCCTGGGTCCGAGTTGTCCGAAAACCCTTATAAGCATATCGTGGCCAAAGGAGCACGTGGGTTATCGCAAACAATTTCAGACGGTTATATCTTGGATAACGACTATTTTCTGACAATGAAGACAGGTATATCTTTTAGATCCATTCTTTATCTCAAAGAAAAATATATACAGTAATAATAAAGTCAAACAAACTCGGAGATATTCAACTAGCAATTAACCCATCAACACTTTTCAAATATGTTGACCTCATTTTCATCAAAAATGCAATAATTTTTTACATCGTTTCTTGCATTGTTATTCTTTATTTTAATGTATCAAATATTTATTGAAAGAAAAACGTAATTGCTTTGAGATAAGTGCTCCCCATGCTATTTCTCCATTGAAAATCTCCTGGTATCCATTGGTTTCAGTTTATTTGTTCATCCAAATTCAGTCCCTTCAGTCTTTAAAGTGCCTAGAGCAATCCAATTTTCCTAGTAGAACATGTGTCAAAGCACATTATAATTATGCATTCGACAATATAATAAAATTAAGGTTGCATTTTTGGTGAAAATTTGGTCAGCATTTTTGAAAAAGTATGTTGATTGGTCCATTGCCCCTTCAATATCACTTAGGTCTGATTAACTAAATTATCATTAAACATATACATTTCTTGAAGATAATGAATGGCTCTGAAAGACACACCCATGTTCATTATAAGAAAATATTCATAATTCCAGTTAGAATCGTTTGGAATTGTTTGTGATAACCTATGTGCTCCTTTACAAAGAGGCCCCGACACGAATGCATCGAATTGCAGCCTGAAAAGGCAGACCACTTCATAACAGATGACTACATAACATCAGTAAAACATGAAATTAAGAAGTATAAATTGGACCTAATCTCAATACAGTATATGGCTTGGCACAACTCCATATGGAACGACTCTAGGAACCAGGAAAACGGAAATAGACTGAAGACATACCGACTCCATAAGATACCCCAGAACAGAACCCGAACACCATCTTCGCATTAGCCTTAATAGATATGAACGCTCCAATCTAGCTAAACTCAGAACGGGCACTGCCACTAAAACTTGAAACTGCTAGATATACTGGACCATTTAAAAGTTTGCGTGAGACCCCTCCCCCCACGCGGGCATGGGTGGGGAATTTGACAAAAACAAAATGAAACCAAATCAATGCACGTATCTCTGATCGGGTTAAGAATTATCAAAAATATGTTATTCGTTTTTAACACTTGACTTTATTTTATCTAGTGCTTGATTAGTCAAGGTTTTTTCGAAGTAGATATAAATTCATAGTATTACATAAATGACACTTTTTTTACTTCTTTAACAATATATCAAATAAAAAGACTGTTAAACGTGTCAACGATACGGTACTTTGGCAGATTATGTTACGATAAAAAGTAAATCATGGATGCCATATTTGTCTCATTTTTGAAACTATAATGTTAAAATTGAAGATTGACAAATAGACCAAAGGGCCACTTAGTGTTCAGAGTGAGAGCTGACAGCGTTACAAATAAAACATTCAAAACGAAACTATTCGTTCTATCAAATCAATTTTGAAATACAGAGAATATCTCAAGACGGTTTATCCATAGCTTTAGGCATGACGACATCATAGGTTGATGACCTTGGGTGAGTTTCTATTTATCACTACCGTAAGTGATTGACGTGTTCTCATAAACACAATGCTGTCTCGATGGTTTTTAACCCTAATGCAGGGAACATAAATGATTCGCCTCATTTGGTTTCCCCATCCAATACTTATTAAGTAGCGGAACCCATTATTCCATTTTCGACTTACCATACACACACACATACATCGGATCTCTTGATATAGCCCCCTGTCCCTGTTCTCTCAATACACAGGCTGTTGTATTTTTTAATTCCACTATCATTTTATGTCACTGCCCAAAGAGGTGACATACTGTTTTAGTCTCCAACTGTGGATGGTGTTCGGCGGTTGGAATCCGTATCACATTGCAGGTGGTGGTATTTTGCCTGTTGATGATTTGATATTAATGCATGCACTGATCTCACGCTAGCTATGCAGAAATGAATCATTCAATAGATATCAAAGTAATATTTGATGATAGGGGGGAGATATACCTAAGCCTTCATAGCATGTTAAATGTAGTTTTTTGCAATAATAACTTGGTCGAAAAAAAGGTGAAGAAGCTAAACTCTGAAGTAACAATGGTGAACGCAGTTTTGAGTTCAGATTTGCCTTTTTGACGTTTTAACCCTTTACTTTTTATTTTATTTTCGATGATAGCCTGCACCCTTAGTGCTACAGTGTTGATCCCATTTGAAAATGTTTTGGGTGGAATGTTTTGCATTTCTCTTTGGATGTTGGCTTTACGTTACGTAGGTCGTTTGGCTTAAAGAGAGAATCAGATATAGTGAGCAGGCTAAACTAAAAATGATTTCAATTGTAGAATATTTTTGGCTCATTTCATTCCCTGTCATGTCTATTTTCTAAGAATCACAAAAGTGCATACTTTACTTATTCCAGGAAAACTAACGATTTTTACAATAATGTATTCTTTTTCTATAAGAATGGTAACCATTCTCATTATTTGGGAGAATTTAAACATTTTTCACTCATTTTTACACTTTGAATCATAATACCTTCACCAATTTATAACATATTGTGAATCTTTGGGAGATATTGTATTTGATATTGTAAGTAAAAGATTGTTAGGTCAATTATACAATGTTGCTTGTAATTTTGTCACCCCTATAGATCAGATTCTGCCTTAAATTGGGATTAACTTAAAATGCCCCTTCAAATAGCCCAAGAGTAAGATATTCGAGGATGAAGATGACAGGAAAATCACAGAGAACCATTTCAATTTTTATTTAATTTAATTGATTAAGGAGTTGATATTGGAATTCCAACTTCCAAAAACCAAATGATATCCAAATGAAAACACAGTGGTTTCAAAATGATTGAGCCCCTCTTAGCTGGCAATTCAGCAAGGGCTACGCGAGAATTCTAATGAAAGCAGTTTCTTCAATGTTCGATCTCTCTTATAAATACATTATGAGGCCCTCCCTATTCAACAGTATTGACACCCCAGACTTTTATTCTTGGGTAACTTAAAGAACCGAGTTTATGCTAATTCCAAGCCGAGAGACCAAGACTAATTTAAGGCCAACATCCAAAGAGAATTTCAAAACATTCCACCAGAATCATTATTTAATGTGACGGACAATAGCAGTAAGGATGTAGGCTGTCATCGAAATATGAGGAGGTTGCATTGAACATGTAGTATAAAAAGTTTTAAAGCACTTAAAAGGCAAGTTTGAACTAAAGAATTTGTATTGGGGAGAAAACTTACATTCATTGGCAACATGACCATGTAAAAATACCTGAACACATCGATTGGTTTACTTTTGCTATTGATATACTTTTTGGTACATTTTTGAGACACCCTAGGCCTATATATGTATACAAGGACAAAGGGATTCTTAATACTTCCAGTCATTCCAGAGATAATGGTATAAGTACCATGTAGAGGCAAAACGTTGATTATGTATTTGAAATAAGCATTATAGAATTCGTGTAGTACCATACATTACTGTCCTACACTAATTCTAATTTATATTTCTAACTAACAAATAAAAACATAGTGCGTGTACATAGACCAGAAAGGTTTATCAGATCTGAGATGAAGCAAATATGATTTCTTATTAAATGCTGTGTCAGTTAATGTTAAAAGCTGATCTTAAAATTCAATTTGACGTAGTCTAAAATCGAAAGAAGGGTGTCGCAATTTTGGCAGTTTTGTTTTTTCCAAAAATCTCAATCTCAATCTCTCAAATCAAAAATGTACTTGACATGGACGCGGTGGAGAGTTATACATATCATTGTTGTCTTCATCCTACATTAGACGGACTGGTTCAACATAAACATGATGCTCTCAGTTTTGTATTGTGCCTTGCTATTTGGAAATGATTCCGGTGTGAAAGAAATGATGGTCCCCCAGGGATTATGGTCCAATTTCTTAACGGCCCTTACTGGCCCTGATTGCGTATAAGATAATGAGGGAGAGTTGTATTTAGGTCACCATATAAATCAATGGAGAGTAGGACCATACTTTGAGAGGACCTCCTACCCTTTTACACCGGGTTGTACCATGTTCCCTAACCCATGCACCTCCCTGAAGGACTGTATAAAATCGGGGTGTATGGTAACTAGTTTTTTATCTAGAAATTCTCGAAATGAATTTATACCATTATAAGAATCCATTGAAGACGTGATTCTTCCATCACTTAGAATATATTTTATGATATTTATATGAAATATCAAATGCGTAGGTCAAACCCACAAAAACTGCGTGTTAATTCTCACTTTATCCGCAAACAATAACAATCAAACGAATATGAATATATAATATTTACATATTTACATTAATATTATTTAACAGTTTTACATTATTTACAATATGCACATATTTACAACTCTTGAAACAAGCAGTAATACGATTGTGTATGTTTTTGCACTAAATATCAGCTGAATATTCGTCGACGAACTTGTATCTTTTGATCCATTATCAGGTTTTTCAGTTTTTATTTCATATTCGGGATTTTTAGTTGTTTTATAAGAAGTCTGTGTTGTCATGTCGGGCGGTATATTGCAATTATTTTCAGCACAACATTCTACATCAGTGGCTTCCATTTGCTGAAACAAAACATTCGATACATTTCATTGAATTTTCTGGTGTATAATAGCTTGACACAGCACACTGTGAAAAAAAGTTGGGAGCCCCATTTTACAAGTTCAATAATCATAAACGTAAATTTAGACATATCTGCATATACCATATATTTCCTTCAAATATGAAACAAATAACTGTTATTTAATCATTTGGTGACCACTTACTAAAAACATTTCTGGACATTCTGTTGAGGTGGCACATCCATAGAACAGTGTATCACCCCTCCTTCCCTTGACACAACTGTCTGCATCAGCTAGGGGTGTTCCTGTCAGACTGTTACATGCAATCACACGTACAGGATTCTGAAGATCATCAGAACTACCAGAGTAGCACTAAAAACAATCATAGTATGAAATTGAAGATAAAGGTAACACTTTACAAATAATTCTTAAATGTTAAATCAAAAATCTTTAACTTAATTAGAGTACCTTTTGTTTGCTATTTCCTTCTGGAACTGTACCATCATGGGGTACATTGCAGTTGTCCTCGCTGCAACAATGGACGTCAGTTCTACCAATTGCCTGAAACCAATTTAGATATTTAAGTTACCTGATTTCAGGGAAACCATGGTCACTTCCTGCATCTTTGACCCTAATATGATTTTAATATTCTAAATAAATATTACAATATAATCATACTTTCTTGATTGTTACATTGTTGCTTGAGCCTCAGTCACATTTGCTCTACAGTAGGTGTAATTTTGGGAAGTACGGTCGCCGTACGGTTGCCGTAGAAATATGACTGAAGCATTATACATACCTGGTAATATTCGGGGCAATCTACGGACATAGAATTTGCGCATGTATAGTGCTTCTGACCCTGATGTATGAACCGGATACATGTATCACTGTTTGAGCATTCAGTAGGAATTATAGGCATTCCAGAGCCCTCGACACCCGAATAGCACTGAAACAATGTTAGACTATTAGCAATAAATGAAAGGCTGGTAACAGAAAACTGGGGTTTTGAATAGCATCACTTTTATGTCTAAACCTTTCTTAAAAATGAAATACATGACGTTAAACACCAATGGACACTACAATGATGATACCTAGTATGATATACAAGCATGCATTTCAGAAAAATGCAACTCATATACCTAACAATGCATATATTTTTTAACCAATAGAGCCTGAACCAATGTTTTTGATTTTTTCTCACATTATCAACTTGAGGAACACTGAACCAGCTTTAGTGATGCCGTACAAGATTTGGAATACTTTTCATATTAAAAAGATGTACATCGTCAGTTGATTACATTTTTGAAACACCCTATATTATCATGTTTCATTTTCAAACTGTACTTTGATTACTCTGTTCAAACAATACGTATGCCTAATTTAATTATAAATAATACATGTTGTTGAATTGCTGATATCCTCACAATCAAATTAGATAAAATGATTTGTGACAGAAATATTTTAATGTCTTTGACCTTCATATACCATATTTGTGCATGACAGTGCACGTTCAGATAATTAATCTTATAAATTCTTCGAATGAATGGTTGGCATACAGTTCAGACAATGGTTAAGGATTTAAGCTCTTGACTCGGTGCAACGTGGATTGACCATTCCCTTGAGGTGTTGCTATCCACAAATTGCGCAGCATCAAGTGTTCATTTTACAGAACAACGTCTGAAAGGAATGGTCATTCCAAAATAAATTTAATCTTGGGCTTAAATTATTTTTACACATTGCAAAATCATTAAAAGAACATTCTTTTAATGTGACGTTTTGCAAGGGTCAAGTTTGCAAAGTATTATTTCTGTAGAGTCAAGGTGTCACCTTGACAACAACATAAGAAGGTGATTGGTTATATAATTCACTGCAGTTATATGGAATACTGTGTTTGGACCGTCTCGAATCGGACACAGTTCGCCTAGCTATGTGTGAATACAATTTAAACCTTACATTAATAGATATAGATGGCTCTGATGTTGATTTCGGGTAGACTATATCCCCAGTACCGCCACCTGGGCCGTTACACCCATCACTCTTGCAGCATACAACGTCCAGAAGACCCTGAGACTGAAAACGTAGCATATTCAATATAAATAATGAACCTTAACCGAGTCATAAATTTTACACCGTCTAGCCAGTAAATTAGAGCCTATTGAGTAAAGTTATAAAAATGCTGAGAAGGAATAGGTGCAAGTGTCCTCGTATCATGTTTACATATTTCTGTCCACAATAAGGTGACCTCATATCTTTAACTGAGATATCATTATGATTTCGAAGAAGCGAGTAAGCAATTATCGTAATTCATAATTATCTTTTTTCGAGTAACTGTATATTAATCTATAATGAAATATTAGACATATGAAATTACGTTTATCATAGTTCATGGTCAGTTCAGCTGGGTGGGTCTTGAAATAGATAATGTACATAATGTTTTTGTATACATCAAGAACACGCCTATTTTACAATATACTAGGTATGTTTATCTTCGCATTTGTACTTGCTTGCGTGAACGTGGCAAGTTAATATTACAAAGAGGAGAAGCAACCTCTGGACGACCAAAATAAAATGTGCATGCCGGACTCTCAACATAGTGAATTGAGTCGTTTTCATAATGTATTTTACAATTTTCAAAAGAGTTTGCAATGCCTTAGAAATATTCTATTAACTAGCATATTAAATTGTTTTTAGCTGGTAGGCTATATTGGGCTTAACTACCCTTTAGATGAGATCGACTTCAAAGCATTAGAATGCGGCAACATACATGACTTGTGGATCACATTCTAATTAATCAACTAATCAATAAGCAATAAATGCAATACACATGCAATACATATGCTATCATGTTATCAACGTTGAAAGTAAATTTTTGCTGAAAGTTGCGTTTTGCATGCCATCTTTCTATTTGCTATCGTTTTTTCAGATTATATTGTTTCTGATTGTCAACGTTAAAAGTAAATATATCTTAAAAGTTGCGTTTTACATGCCATTTTTCTGTATAATATTGTATTCTGATAGTCAATGTTTAAAGTAAATATCTGGTGAAAGTTGCGTTTTACATGCTATCTTTCTATTTGCTATTATAATTCTATTGTTTTTTAGAAAAATTTGTATTCTATTGTCAACATTAAAAGTAAACATCTTTTAAAATTTGCGTTTTGCATGCCATCTATCTGTTTGCTAGTGTTTATTGTTTATATATGTCATATTTCGATTACTCGTGTTTCTCTTTCCAATACATATATAGGCCATTCTTAACAGTATGAAAAAATAAGATTAAATAATTTCTACATGTTTGTTAAGTGAACTTAATATGAACTTTCTTATCAAATTAGTTTATTTAAGATCATTTTTTACCTCCAAGAAAATACGACACTTATTTTCCATGGTTCGGTCATTGAAACAAAGATAATATGTTGTTGTTTGTGATGGCGCTCGATAGGCGGCGCATGTGTCGTCGTCTGGCTGACATTCAACAAGAGGGTAACCTGTTTCTTCATTCGCTTCTCTCCGTTTTCCTTCATGGCACTGCAAGATAGTGTGTTAGTTGTTTTAGTTTACATGCATCATCACACATTGAAATTAAGGTATTTTAGTTGGGGAGGGGGTGTTCGATCGTTTAATCGTAACACAATTCATGCTATCAATATCCAAGGTTAGATCTTCCAAAGTATCAATTCAAAGTATTGTTTGTAGTGGTAATGGATAAAAACACGTGCATGTGGATGAACGGTTAGGAATATACAAAGCATTGTGTATTTCCCATTCCAAGCCAGGCCATTCGCAAGATGCTAACAAATTGCAGAGATCACCTGGAAGGTATTGACACACTCATCAACCGAGTGCAGAGATGTGCACAAATAATGTTTTTCTCCCTGGTTGTTCGTATACGATACACATACACTCGTATCGTTCGGGCCGCAATCCTGGAGACCTATGGTCAGGTCGATGTTTTGTTGGTAGCACTAATATATAAGATATTGGGTTATTGATTAGCATCAGTTTGTTTCTAATTCATATATTTGCCAAGTAAAAATATTACAACCATCAGATACATCTTAATATGTAAGATGATGTGATGACATTAAGATGTTTCTTTATTTAGGATTCAAACTGTTTAAGCCCATATACAGTAAAACCTGTGTCTCTAGTGAACACCTAGTGAACACCTATCCACAGTGAACATTTTTTCGGCAAAATCGTTTTCCACCCATTGACTCCCATGTTAAAAATGCGGCAAGATGCCGCGAAATCAAAGCCTTACTGTAGTGAACACCTTCTTGGCAAAAAAATGTTCACTATACACAGGTTTTACTGTTCTCCATTCTTATATAGTCTGAATATAACGTATCTTCTTTCATTTTCTACATTTTATCTACATGTATCTGTGAACTTGAACTTGTTAAAGGGTTCCGATTAGCATCCCGTATAAAAACAATATGGCGGCTCTAGGCGAATCAACTGGATCAGTCCATTTTTAAGAAATAAGGGGAGTTCTGTAAAATCCAGTTTTTATTGAAATTGTCTTTGAGATAAAGTAATCCGTTTATAATGATTTTGAAAACGTTATCCAAAGAGTGATTGCGTTCAAAGAATACATGTACAACAGCTAATATAAATCCTTGCATTAGAAACCGGATTGTCTTGCTTTGTTTCATTTGTAGGATATTTCATATGCCAAGTTGTGTGCTATTACGTTATGGAGAAATTTAGATGCCAATATTTCCTTATTATACACAAATAGATGATCCTGAAACTTCGCCCATAAATGTGGAATTGATTTGTCAAAATAAAAATCACCCTTTTATAAATGTGTGACGATCTATAATATACTTATGCTATATAACAGTTAGAGGTGTTGACTGTTGACACAACGACCTCAAACCTGTGAACCCTTGAGTATTATTCCGGGATCGGGCCTTTTATACTAAACGGTGAGCAACACCAGAAACGAGCGTTCGATTTGCTAAACGATATGCGTCACCCTTTAATAGTTTTTACCTTGCTTTCCTATTCACAGATACAAAATGTGTTTCATTTTAAAAAATGTTACTATTATATACAGTGCAGGCTACATGAAGTTGTTTAAATATTGCTTACCTTCAAAGTCTCAGCGATCTGAAAAATAGAAGTATTATGTACTGACAATTGGCAATAAAATATAATTGTATGAATATATATCGTTATACTGTGTGCTATGTAAGAATAAGACATCGGTGCAAAATAAACCGATGAATAAAGTTTATAGACTTTTAAAAAACATTTATATTAAAAAACCAAAATTTGCTATCGATGAGAATTTACCATTTATATATCATGACTCGACGACCTGTAAATAAAGATAATTTTTAAAATGCAAACCTACATACTCTGTTGTTAATGCAATCACATGGTGTTGATTATAAATGAGTGTAATGCATTATTATGTGGACAATAAAAAAGATTTGTTTATATATAAGAGTGGGACAAAAACAATGCTTAAGTTTAAAGATGAATATCATATGATACATGTTAAACCATGCTATACGTATATCATTTTAAAGATAACATGTCTTAACAATAAATATAAAACATGGCATGTGATTTAACATATATCATAAATATTCATAAATATTCATCTTTAGACTTGTGTATCGTTTTTGGCCCACCCTGTATACTCCATGATCAAGATCAATTAAGATATGTCATTAACAAAACTGGTACATAATAGGTTGAACATACAGAACCTCCTTTGTTATCATCGATCAGGTAAAGTTGAAAAAGTGAGATTGATTTACATGTATTTATTTGCCATATCTGTTTAATGTGTATGTTTAGATTTTTTTCGCAGGTGTATATCTTGTGGGGGAATGCGATGGTTTACTTGCCCCAATCATATTTGCTCTACGGCAGGGCGTACGGCGACCGTAGCTTCACGAAAAATCGTTACAGAAAATCGACATCGTACTACAAATCCCTATATTTCATACTGCACATTTTTGGAAGCTACTGCCACCTTACGTTTGCCGTAGATCAAATGTGACTGGGGGATTAACGACAATATACACCATTTATAAAAATGAATAGATTAATAATCTCCGTTCATTATAGTCTAAGTAATCAAAATAATATAATTTGGATTACTATTTCTCACGTTAGACCCACACATGGCATGAAAAGAAACATTCAACACCACGCCAACAGTTTTAAGAAAAAACAAACCCCTAATATCCCAAAAAGTATTTAACGCACTAGGATTAAACAATGTCTAACCCTTCATTTCTGCAAAACCATGGAAATCTATTTATATTGAAGTTATGATTAACATTGAATGTTCGAAAGCAGCGAGGAGTTTACCGAACGCCCTCGTATGGGTGTTTTTCTACATTGAGTGTAGAGTGAAAATTCGGGAATAAAATGTATTCCCGAATTTTCAAATTTTAAAATGCTTTATACCTACACAGTTAGCGATTGGAATTATTCAACAGAGACAACATGATATGTAGCCTGAAAACATCTTTGTTTAAATCGGCGTTCAATTCCCAAGAAAGGCAGTGAAGGTTCAGGTTGACATGTAGATTGGACATCATTAGTAGATGTTTAACATTCAAGGAGGATTAAATGCCTTAGTGCTTTATATCCTGGAATAGGATTACACCTAATGCATGAGTCAAGTCAATTGCATTCACTTCGTATCGTATATATGGTACTAAAAGATGTATACGATTTTTTTCTTCAGAGTAATTTTTGAGACTTGCCCTCCGATCAAATTTATTTTGGGGACATTTTAATAAGTCTTAGAATAATTTGATTTTGAATTAAATATTTCACAATCATAAGTTGTATGTAAACAACTAAAATATGGAAATAACATAACAATTTTCATCGTGCAGATATATCTTCAGATGAGTCCATTGGGGACCACGTGGGCATTAACTGCACATCGTACTAGACAATGTATTAGGTTTGCATTTATGAATAATATTAAATAAGACATAATGCGGAGGTAGCATGGGTATTGGCAAGTAGAAACGAAGTTAAAGACATTATTAACATACTAGTCGATAAACCTCTTTGATGCGACTACTCTAAGAACTGAACAGGCTCCACAGGGTCTTTGACAGGAACATTGCGGGGATTTGAGGAATTATTAATAACTGGCGAAATGGCCTAATGGTTTTAAGACAGGCAAGTGATCAGACACTTGTCGATATGTTGCAGGAAGAAACATGAACTACATCCGGTCTAATTAAATTCTTTGGTACAGATATTGAATATTCTGAGAGGAATCATGGACCTTTTTATCCTAGTCATGTTTTTTTCTTAAAGGCGATCATGCCGACTTAAAATTTGACCATCACCCGGAATATGTTTCTCGTGACATATTCACTCAGACTATGTTTTCCATTTAATCACTTGCAGATATTCTTTTGTCCTGAATTTTGTCTTTCTAAGTCATCTGCTTTTCTCGAAAAATAATTTATTTTTAAGGAATTCAGCGCCAGCATATCAAATATAGGCCAAAAACATATTTAAAACGTCTTAAAGGTTTGCCACTGTAATCTCAAGGCCGATTCAGTAACTTGCCCTTTCTACTTGATTTCCTAAGAGATTTGCCTGCAGCGGCGTTGGGTTAATAGAGTTTTAGGGATAATTACTTACAAATTGTAAAAAAATATCCTATCCATTTTTAATACCAATAATACAACATTTTTGCGATACACTACACCCCAGTCCCATTTCCTACGGCGACCTTGCGGTCTATCATTTCTGCGGCCAGTAACATTTCTACGCTCGCCGTGGAATTTCTGCGCTCTCATACTTTTGCAGTCACATTGCGACAAATGTGACTGGGGAGTTACCTAACCCACGGTAAATAAAATAAAAAAAAGTATTATTTATCAACAGAAATCTTAAATTCACCGTGTGGCTGCCGTGGGAAATGTGACTGCAAAAGTATGAGAGCGCAGAAATTCTGCGGCGAGCGTAGAAAAGCTACTGGCCGCAGAAATGATAGACCGCAAGGTCGCCGTAGGAAATGTGACTGGGGTGTAAGTGCATTATTATACCCTTTGCATTCGTTCGAATTCGCTTCTTAAAAGAGAGCTTCATAGCTTCAATGCGTGCAGTGTAAACGCATTGCTAACTTAGTTTAGATTATGCTCAACAGATTGCAGGATTCGACCCGACCGTCCTATCAATAAACTGGTTAATTCAGTGTATCCCCATGGACTAGTTTTGACAGAATCTATTAGGAACCCTAATAACATACTCGATGTCCTTTGCCTAGCATCTGCTTATTAATAACCGTATCCCAATAAAATGATATATTTGAGAACATCATCCTCCGACTGCAGGGCTCCAATATCCAAAAAAGGAGGAACGAGTTTCGCAGCCCTGCGTTTGGGGATGGATAACACGCTCTAACTGCTGATCATTTGATGTAAATTATCCAACGCGGTCCTTTTTAGTATCTTCTTCATTCATAATAATTTTGTTTAGTTTAGTGTGATTTCAAATTCGAGACAAACTACTCAATTGTCAAAATTTTAATTTCCTTGCATCTGCAAATTAAGACTAACTTATTCAATAAAAAGATGATGTATTGGTCTGTGTATATTAACTCGTATTCTATGAACTTATAAAAACATGAATTCAGGCGCCAAGTCAAAGATCCCGATTTGAGAGGAAATTGGGTTTATATGCTAACGGGGTTCGCTGTTTGTCTATTTTGTAGGCAGAATACGGAAATCATTGATTTTCTACAATGGTAAGTATAGCGTTTCAGATAAGAACATATTCCGAACAGATAGATGAACAACGTAAAGTGGACTGTGCCTCTGAATACAATACAAGGCTTTGATGCACCATAATTTCACATACTAATATGAGGTATTGTTTAAATACGGAAACAGATCCCATGATCACGCTAATGAGAAAAATATATGCAATAAAAATTGGAATTGAACTCGAGACCTCCATCTTCCAAACGAAGGGGTCCAGGTATCGTCCACTTTTTAGGGAACAGAGTGGATTATAACCCCTGCGTTGGGATGAGGGAAACCTACAAATAACCACTCTTAACGCTTATTTTCAATATTTTAGCATATGATGTATTCTTTTCACAGTTATATATCTATATTTACATAACCTTCAAATAATCAAATTATATTCTTTAGAATACTATAGTCCTGAAAGGTTTGGGAAATCTTTTCCGCAGAAGTCGCACTTCCATGAGCAATAATACAGCAAATTACTATGCATCAGAATACATTCTAATCCCGCGTGGGAATCAAGTAAAATTAAATTACAATACAACCAGGAGCCGGACTAATAAAATGAATGACAAATAGTATCGACGTTTGGTTTATGAGGTATACTGAGACATATATACTGTTCTGCACATGAATTCGTCTTTGCGAAGGCCAAAGGGTACCGCCTGGTATGTCAACAAAGTAATAAGCAAACAATATAGACTGTAACCCATTCTGTAGAAGTGCTCTAGAAATGCAACCTTCCTTACATGAAAGGTTACACATTCCAACCTATTTCAAACCATCTGTATGACTATACTGGACACTTTCTGGGTAGTTGGAGTTTCCATAGGGGTGGCAGACGGCCCTCAGACCAATATATACCCCTACCCCCAAAAAACCATGGGGGTACTTTAATACCACCCAATAAAAAGAATACTAATGCATGTCAGATATTCATTGTTTTATATTGGGTAGAGCATGTTATGGTTAATAAGTGCCAGAAATTTCCAATCTCTAACTTATATGGTTACCATAGAAACAGTATTTATATCTCGAAATATTCTCAATTTGACCCCCTCCCAAATGTGTCCCTTTGTTCTCAAAGTGAAATATTTCAAAATCTGTTTAGATTTTATGGCTGCTACTTTGTCAAAATTTGTAATATTATGTCTATATTAACACTAAAACACTTAAAAGTTGATATAATGATCCTATAAATCAATAATATTTATCAAATATAGTCACACATAGCTGCTTTCAGGGAAAAGTGGGCGTGGCACTTTTTGGTACTTGTGCGCTTGTTGCAGCATTAAATGAAAGATTCAGATTACACTAACAATAATTGACATTTAATTAGCATCTACTAATGTTGTGTAACATTGT